TACCAAGTTTTAAATTGGCATCTTTAAATAAAGGAATGAGACTATCTACTCGATCGCTTCCTTAATAACTCTTAGTCTCATCCATCGTCTTAACTTCGAATTTTAATCGCTAAGAATATTCTTGTATGTATATAGTTAGATTTAAATGTTTTTTTTTTCATGATATAAACAAAACCTATGTCATAGATTATTTCAATCCCTCATAGATTTGTCATCCGTTTAATTTAACTAAAAATAGAATTTAACGTTCGAGTCCGTCGGGTATACTGTAGAGTGTTTCTATTTTCGATATTTTTTCTTGGATTTTCACCAACTTTAGCAAGTTTTGCCAATTACAAAGATGTACTCAATGGTTGTTTTTCATCTGCTGTCATAAACAAAGTTATAAAACAAAGCTGGAAATTTGATCTCGAATAATAGAGAAACAGTTCTTTACCCAAAACAAGTGAGGCGTTTAGTCAAACACTTTCTCAGCTTGCACATCAAACAATCAACTGTTGTTCCTCAGTCGGTCTCGTTTAACTAAATAAAATGTCTCAGATTAAACGTACTCTTACTCCCTTATGTAGACTTGCTATCCATTCGGATTAGCTAACGAAAATGTTAATCAACAGTTTTGTTTTTGATTGCAGAGGTGGTTTGGTTATTTGGTTTCTTTGTTATTTAACCCGAAAACTATAAACTTTCTACTGTAGTATATTACAACTGTATCGTTTAAAGGATATAATGTATAACAAACTACGTAGTAAAGAAAACCTGACATTTATCTGCAACCAATCAATACAATGCATGCTCCTTTGTCTGTAAAGGTTGAACAACAAGTAAACTACTGCGAATAAAACTTCCCATGCAAATCATTAATTTTATTGTGACAGATGCACAACGTAGAGTACCGGTACATTATCCTGAATATTAAAAACCATTATCAAAAGTCCAAATGACCGTGGGATAACAGATATTTCTTAGCCAATGCCACTTGTTTCAAAACACCCAACGAAAATCGCTAGGTACATTTAAAAATAGTACAAATCCGGAGCCCTAACGATAATCACACAAGCATCATAACTTTGCACTTCGCAACCAGTTAAAAGTACTATGTTTAAAGGTTCGTAATATGTTATGAAAATAATATAAAATTATTTCTATATTTTCCACTAACTTAAATTATATTGAAAATTAATAATTTTGGCTCAATTTGAGTTTTGTCTAAATAACTTGCTAAATAAGCTGTGTGTTCTGTGAATACATACATTTATCAAATACCAACATCGGCTTCCAATAATTTGCAGCTTATGCTCTTTTCTTAAACCTAACACATGTAATGTAACCTAACAGATTAATCCAGTTGTCCAGTCACTGACATGAGTCAGATACTGCAAGTAGTCTTTGGTAATGTTTCTAAAATAGGCACCATTTGTTGATCAAGTGCTTGTTAAAGTGTGGTGAGCCTACAGAACATCGAAAGCGATGAAAAATTTCTCTCTTGTTTGGGAGTAAGATTAAAAATGTACTTTGTTCTTGGGCTACGCTTGGGTTATGTTAAAAGCAGAGAACAAGCAATAGTTAATAAATATTGTTATAACCTCGATAACAAGACCCTTGATAACGAGTCATCCTTGATAACAAGTGTCCTTTTAAAATCCACAATTTATTTTACCCATAATCGAATGCTATTACAAACCCCGATGAGAAGTTAACCTTGATCAAGTCTTATTTTGTAATCCCCATGAGAGTCTTGTTATCGAGGTTCTACTGTATTTGGTAGCGATAGCTTCAAAGTTGGTATGCTAATAGAATATAAAAAATCAAACAAAACTACAACAAAAAATAAACACTCCATTTTCACATCGGAAACATTATAAGTTTCGTCAACCCATAACGATGACCTATAAAGGCTATAGTTATGATAGCATGCTATTTCATATAAATTGGATTTACAAATACTGTAAAGATTAAGGGGGTTTCAACAACCGAGGTCGTAGCCTTCTCTGAGGAGTCCATCCCGAGGAAGGTTACTATTACATTTTTATTACATTTTAAGCATTTTTATTACATGAAATAAGGAATTCAATTTCACAACATATAAAGTAATATGCCTTTATGTACTAAAGCTAATATATTATGTTCACATTCAATTATATTCATAGAATTCAGTGTGTCGATTTTTTACAAATAAACAATAATATAACCGATAATTTATCACTGACCAGAACTTTCATATATATTGTCATACTAGCAAAAAATTAAGTAATAACTACTATTATTTACAGTTTGTCCGTTAAACAAACGTACAAACAAAAACAGTTACATCTATTTAATCTGAAAAATAACGAATATTTTATACAAATTTAATCAAACATCACTATATACATTTCCAGGCGTTGGTTCTCTTCGGACAGAATGAAGTAATATATATTTACCGCTGTTAAAACAATGAAACACACCCAATGCAATAACAGTTTGTTTTAATTGAAAAGTCAAATACAGTGGAAAGTTTTGGAGGGTAGCACGTAAATAACTTGTTACTGTAAATCTCATTGCATTTCATCATGTCATTACTATTTATTGTCATTGGTTCTTTGCTATTTGTTCTCAGAAGTTTGTTAACGTTTGATTTAATTATCTCAGTTACAACAGTGAGAATTAAGTAGTTCATAATTCGGTCTAAAGTATACGGTACAAAGTTGTCACGAAGTCAAAATAAACATTAGAAATGCTTTAGACTGGTGACTTAATCGTTCATATACATTCTACTAGGTTGCAATACTATAATACGGGCCACAGCAGACTAAGTAAATTTCTATATACCTAATGAAAAAGTAAATTGCTCCTGGGACTAGGTCTTACCGTGCCACCTACGGTAATAACTACGCCAATATAGGGAAATTCGCTCAAATGTGAATTTTAACAAAAGTATTTGGAAACTAATTGTAATATTAATTTAATATTTATTGTCTGCTGTAACCATTTTTGTCTCTAAGAGGTCGTCTTGCATAGTTGAATGAACCACCAATAGAATCTGCCACTACTGAAGCTATGTTTTCTTTTTTCATACTATTATAGAGAAACTAACTGATACTAAAGTTGGTGAAAGATTCTAAACTTTACAATAAGTTACACTTTCAGTTTAGCACGATCGAAAAGTTGGAGTGTAAGAAACAATACGGCACTACTCAGTCACCGTCTCAATTGAAAAAAGTTCTTTTTATCATAACTCTCTAATAGAGCTGTATATTTAAAACAACAGAATGGAAATTACATTTCACAGGAGAGAATTTATTATGGTTAAATCTAGTAGGTGTCATGTTTACATTCGATTGAACGGTATTTAAAATGGTTTTGAAATAATACTATAGTGATCTATATCATTAATAATTTATTGTATCTGTTTTAATTCTAGATTTGAATGAAACTAATAAGATAAATTTATTGTTTATTATGAAATATAAAGAAGTTATATATTCAACAATGTAGACATGTGTAGTAATATGTAATGGCGACAAATATGGAACATGCTCAAAGACTGACAATTGACGAATTTAATTGCTCAATGAAATAATTGTTTCCTCACTTGTTAGTCGTTCACCGTAGTTTGTGCAACTCACACAAATGAGTGAAAATGTGTTTTTAAAGTTGATTAAAGTTTCCTAAACCGAAATAACTATAACACTTATAAATTTTCTAGTGTATAAAAACATATCCTAACGTTTCACCTACTTGTTTAAAGTATTCAAATGTAGATAGGAATTGATCAGTTACCCTAAAGGTCATCTAAATTTCATCAAATGTATCTATTGTATATACGACATAAAAGTCAATATTGAGAAAATTGTAAATTAAATGTATTTTAAATTCAATTAATTATGAATGCAAAGTTACATTTTTCTATAAAGAAATATATTTCAGTCACAAGCTTTATCAACTAAATATTTATTTCCACTAAAGTGTCATATTATATTACACTTTGTGTATCTTCACTGTTAACTGTTCTGACAATAAATGGAATAATGTTTTAAAAATTAACTGTTGAAGCTTTTAAGTTGCTTCAGTATATAGTTAATCATACTTTATAATTAATTGTAATCAAGCTTTAATTTACACAAATAAACTTGTGTTATAGGAATGTAAAATAATGAACTAAAAATAATTCAACCATATATCAAGTTTTATTTTGTTTGTACATTCTTATCAAGGAAAAAAGTTTGCCCCATAACACCACATAGTATAGTTATTACACTTATACTCCAAATTCAAGACGATAGATCCAAATAAAATATGTTACATTGGCTTGGTGGTTCCGACCAGTCACAACAGTCTTCACTTTGACCAATCGTAATATTTCTAAATGATTTAGACTATAATAAAATTACCGTAGATAAAACCACAGAATAAAAAGTTTATTCTGTGATGAAACTATGCTAAAAAGTACCTGTAAATCAGTTACACAATCACAATATTTTGTAATAGATGGCAGGCCTAAAGCACATTAATGGCATTTTTCATTAATGCGAAACTTAAAATTAGCCTCTGAAGAAAAACTAATAAAATATATATTGAACAAATTGGATAGCCTACTGAGAAATAATAGGATAAAATAATGGAAATCATTCAAATAAATAACTGAGTTAGTTAAAATAATACACCAAATTACTATCAATACGGTATAATATTTTAACACTAATCGTATTTAACTATCAAAATCGTACCATAAATAAGTGCAGATTATTGTTTGTTTACTCGCAAGTTTGACCTGCCGCCATGCCAAGATGTCCCTACTGCTACAACTTCATTAGCAGCAGCCTGTCAACTATGTAAAACAACAAGTTGCAAGTTAAGCCTAGTCATGAGAAATCAAACAAACTGAAATCATCCTCAAACTCGTTGATTCGCCTTTAAATGATCGGTGAAATGTTTTCTGATCAACTATTTAATTCATTTTATGCCAAAAAACTATTATAAATAGTTTTATATTAGAGATCAAAATAAATGTTCTTACATACCGAATCAACCATGTGAACCATGCATGCTCTGATGTAGTCAGGACGACGCCGTAACACATACTGAAGGAAGGTTTGGCGTCGCGCGGCGCCGCAGCCAAGCCAGCCATTGTTGAGGTATCAGCTGACGCATTGTTGCGATCAGCTGATGTTTGCCTCCTTCACCACCATGTAAGATATTACTCAAATTGTTGTTTCTTTATTTGTTTATTACAAATTCGCTGTAATCAGTATAAATGTGTTAGTTGCATGTTATTTATTTATTCTATACGATTTCTATTGCTAACATTGTGTTTTATAACGAAGGAAGTTACATTGCAGATTTTCTTGTTTTAATAAGAACGAAAGTAGTGGAATACATGACCAGATGAATTATTAAGTGATTTTCCAATTTGATTAAACTGCAATGGTTCAATTGTTAAAGTTCAAGGCATTACAATATGGTGCCATTTCAAATTAAAGTATTAAAGTATTAAAAACAAAGTCTTTTTCTTTATAATCTCGAAGTAATGTTGTAAGAACAGAAATTTCTTCTTTTTGATTGAAGATGCAGATATGCTTTAATAATTAATATATTTGACGCCAAAACATGGGAAATACATAAATATTCAAAATACGTAAAATACATGAACCAGGCTAAGTTTGTTATACCGATTCTGAAGTGCGAGTCCTATGAATAAATAAATAAGCCTTTATTTCTGAGCATTGGTTTTACAGAGTAACTCAGATCGGTATAACTAACTAAAAAATATACAACAATGATAAAAAACAATGTGTATGATATAATTAAATTATGGACTATATACAAATATTTTACAGTCTTTTTCATGTTTTTTTCGAAAGCCAGGACCCCCAGCAGTTTTAGGCCCAAGGGGAGATCATTGTAGATTTGTTTCCAAAGTTCTTTTCTACCCACTTCTAGGAGCGCTTTTGGAAAGCGGAGCTAGGCGTTGTGATGGGCCCTATTTCTTATATTAACTCTTGCATAGTGTATCATTGAATATTTATACTTACCTGTAGGTTTATAGTCTAATGGTAGTATCCTATACACTTGATTTTACTTGTTTTCTTAAATTAATATCTTCCTTATATCATTATTTAGGGATCTGGTTAAAATTAATCATTTACAATTTATATCTTTGGTTAATCGTCCTTTTTATAGCAATTGTGCCATGAATTATTAATCCTTTCTAGATTCATAATAGCTCTTATTTATCTCCTTAATACAATTTTCCAGTATGTTTATGTCCGGTGTGTATGTGGAGTGCATTTGGATGTTTTCCTTTTTATCGTCATTTAACCCACTTTTAAACGATATAACCAAACAAAGTTATCTAATTGGAAAATATTGTTTGCAAGTATTATTTGCCGTAGAATGAAAAGTAAGATGTAAAATGTACCTGACCAAGGGGGGCTTAGCCAAGATCAGAGCACCGATATATAACTACTACGATCAGTAGCTATGTATCGATGCTTCAGAGCTGTTAACGTACCGTAGCAGTGAAGTGTACATAACACTTCAAAACAGGCTGCTGAATTTATTTGGCAACGAATGAGGAAATACTCTACTTTCAGCATCCAAAGGCAGTGTGTTAGTATCAAACAATCCAAAAATACTTCATGGTTCCGCTCAATTTAGTACTGCATGGTTCAAATGTTCCCGTACCGTTCCCAGGCATATGCGGCTTGAACAGAGCACACATCTTTATTCCATTCAGGCACATATGTCAGTCCATTTAAACCAATTCCACCACACATAACCGGCTCGATTACCAAACAAGATTTGTTTAAATGGATTCCCATACCTTTATCCTGTAATTGACAGTTTGGGATCCTGTGTCAGAATGTCTCTTTTGTACAATAGCCTCCTTTTACAATACCTGTACCATAAAAATAAACATACTCCCTTTTATATTTATCATCCTTACGGATCGGCTGAAGGAAATATAAGGGTGTAAGTTATATCTTTCCGTCATGTGTAAATGAAGGGGTTTTTATGTTAACTGTATTTATATTTTCTTCGCCGTCTTCTAAACTACTATTAAAAAATAAAATCAACTATTTGCACAATGCTTTAGTTACCATTAAATATAGCAACACGTTTAGGCTAAATCGGTGCAAAAAAGAAACACATCAAAATAGGCTTCAGATCATACATTAGAACGAGAAGAAGGTATTCAAAGACAATGAATGAACAACATTTTTTAAATAATAAGGAAGATTCAAGCTCTCAAATGAGATTAAATATGTCGTATGGAATTCTTGCTTTAAAAGTTACAAAAAAGTTATAAAAGTTAGGTTTTACCTTAAAAAAAGTAAAACATTCTGATGAAATCAATAAACGCACATGAAAATTGCTATGGAGTAACTTCACTCCGTCCCGGAGAAAAACGTTTGGTTCTAAACACGATGAGTTGATTCCACTTCTTAACAGTGCACTAAAAATAATGGACGCAAACATTATTTTCATAATCTCGGCTTCTACTTAACAGCTTTTAAATTAAAAAAAAACCTGTTATCTAATATGTTATTAAAGTGATAAGTGGAAGTTTGACGTCATCATTTAAAACCATTAAAAAATAAAAATACAGGCAAATGACACATACAAATTAAGCGAAGAGTGTATGGATTTGCCGAAAATTATTGGAATGAACTAATTCCCTAAGGGCTCTGCCACACAGACATATTTACAAAGGGCTCCTTCCTTGCTTCCATGTTTTCATTATTTAATTCATTAAATGATAAACAACTGATCAATGGAATTAACAGCTGTTTGTTTACTGTACTGTATTTATATTTTTGTTTACTTTTATGTTCTTAAAAGCAGTGGGGTTAATTAATTAACATTGATGCTATTTCTGGGTATTTACTCAGGGGAGGTATAGAAGAGGCTACGATGACAGCTGTGGGCTTCTTATTAGCTGAGGGAACGCCATTAGCGTAACAATACGACCTGAAGCCATCGGCGTCGGTGGTATAGTGGCTGGCGTGCCGGACTGATATGCTGAAGGTCCCGGGTTCGTATCCCGCTGGTAGCAGTAACTTTTTGTCCAAGATTTTTTCATTATCAGCAAGTTTGGTTTGTTTGGTTCGGTTATGAAAGTTTAATTTTATTATTAAGTCATTATAAAATTTTAATTGAGCAATTTCTAGGTTTTTTTTCTAAACAGAATTATTTTTTCTATTACTTAACTTTTGTTATATTATTTCATCATCAGCAAGTTTGGTTAGTTCGGTTAGGTTATGATAGTTTAATTTTATAATTAAAAAATAATAAAATTGAATTTGAGGCATTTATAATTTTATTTTATGAACAGAACTATTTAGCGATTAGTGCTTCATTGCCAAAGTGCTCTCTACTACAGCGCTGTTCACGGAGGAATTTTGAACTAATGCCTCAATCGTACCTCCCCTAAGTCAGACCCCTATTTCTGGCAGTTGGATGAAAGTGAGTCCTTTGAGAATTTTTAAAAACAATGATAGTGAGATAAAAAAAATGTTTGTTGTTTGACCGAAGGATTATCAACAAACTTAGGTCGTCTAGAACTCCTTATTAGCGAATCGGTATTCTACCATTTCAACCTCAGCCTGTGTAAGGTATAGATAGAGCTGCCGCTGCTTTCGATATTCCTTTTTAAATGAAAATGTATCCAACCTACGCCCTTTTAATGAAAGATGTGGCCATTGTGACGCACTGCATTATAAATATTAAAAATCCGGGAATCACTCTGTGTGATCTGAGAAGGTTTCTCTATCACCACTGTTAGTCACCCAAGGTAATAGGCCTTCTACCCAGACAAGATAATACATCTAACTTCGTCAAGAAGAGGTAAGAATAAAAACTCAGACTTATCATTCGTAACAACTGGTGCTGACATAAGACATCCTGAGGGTAACGGCCGGACCCTTTTGTTTTATTCCACAGGGGCTGAGGGGGTTTGAGCATGCATGAAAGTAGTACGCAATGTTATTGCTGATTATTGTAATATGGGCTGTGGTGATCAAAATTACGTATGTCGCCTATTTCAAAAGTGGTCAATAAGGTGGGTTTGGAGGGGGCAAACATAACGGGAGGCGCTATGTGTTAAAACGCTGATATTTCGAAAACGGTAAAAGATTAATATCGGTTAAAACTTCGTTGGATCTGACTCCAAAAAAACTTCCGGCAAAGATCTAGGTACATGTGCAGCTAATCTACTGGAATTAAAACTGATCCTTTAGTTGATACTGGCAGTTCGGAAACATCCTTATAGGGAACTAGGAGTTACCCGGCGAACGTTGCTGCGCTTAACAACTATGATTTTAAATGGTAATTTGTTCTTTACGATGAGCAATAAAATTGTATAGCAAAAATAAAATACCCCGCCAAAGCAAACCTGCCGACTAAGCGAATTTACATTCGCCTGAATTGATTTTCAATTGAATGTATTTAATTAACATTAGGTTTTAGGAGAACCTAGGCTTGGTGCTACAGGGAGGGTAAAAAAGTGTGTTTTTAGTAAAATATGAATAGCTTTGTATAAAATAAATACATTTACCGAGTTTGATCAAAATATATCCAAACAAGCAAACTACAACATTTTACAATATTCTCCATAAGAATAACATAGGAATTTTAAAATAAAAGTTTTTTGAATTTTCTCCGTAACCAATAACTGTACAAAAACTTTTTGATATACTAAATTATCTCTTTTTTAAGCTCTTTAAAAACGTCCGGAGAGAAATTGGGAAATTTTGTGTTTAGAGGGCAAACAATTTGAAAAACCAATTTTTACCCCATAAAACCCGCCGTAAAACCCTGTTCCCATGGTCCGATCATGCTGGTTCGCGAACTCATTCAAGTTTATCCCACCTTACACCTTCAAACCAAATTTCATCAAAATCGGACAAAAATTACTCAAGTTATCGTGTTCACGGACACATATATATATATAAATCTATATATATATATATATATACATATATAAAAATTTGAACGAATGGTGTTTTCGGCCTCTGGGGACATCAAAATGAAAAATTAAATCGGTCCCGGGCCTAGGTCTTACCATGCCCCCTACGGTAATAGCTACTTCCCTATAGGGAAATTCGCTAAAAGAACCTTCTACTTAATTGCCAGTAGATAAACAATGTTTTGTTTTGTTTTTGTAAAACGTGATTTTGCAGCCAATAAGTACAACCATGACTATTAGAGTCAAGGTACAACTTTAGACTACTCTGAACATGGAAATAGGCTCTTTTGCACAAGACAAAATCAATCTGTTAGGATATGTAATAACAAAGAACGAAATCCGTCCTTATCCACACCGTCTTCAGTCGCTCTTGAAACTATCCCTTCCTCATGATATCCAATCATTGCGACGAACCATGGGCATGTTCGCTCACTATTCTGACTTTATCAAGAGTTTTTAAGAGAAGATTCAGTCCCTTTCATCTACTAAAAGTTTAGAAGAAGCAATTAACTGATCCTATAATGAATTGAACAAAAAAATATTTACTGCAACCAAAGCTCAAATCCAAGATGACATATCAGTTACAGTATAGTAGAGACCAAAGCTCTCTTATACCAAAGCTGTACTTTATATATACACCTTATATATATATATATAATAAAGAAATCATTCTAACTCAGTACCCTGAAATTATTTTTATTTTTTTATTTTTATTTTATTGAAAATAAAAATAATTTCAGGTTGTATATATATATATATATATATATATATATATATATATATGCGTGTGTGTGTGTGTGTGTCGGTTAGCAAAATAGCTGGAGCAAAAATGATCCGATTTTGATTCTATTTTGTATAAACGTGTATACTTACATTTGTTTGAACGAGTTCGCGAACCAGCATGATCGGACTATGGGAACAGGGGTTTAGGGGGGGAGGGGGGTAAAATGGGTTTTTCCCATTTTTCACCCTGAAAACATAGAATTTTGCAATTTCTTTCCGAACCATTTCGTAGAGATCAAATAAAATAAACAATTTGGTATATCGGTATGTTGTTGTATGTGTAGTATAATCACAAACAAATAAAACAAACTGTAGTTAAATAAAAAAGAACATTTTAATCTTCATGTCATCTCAACACTAACTCAAATCATCACAACAAAAACATAAACAAACATAAAGTATGAAGTATGCCTAAACAATTCCAAAAGAGTGTAGATTAAAAATACCATGTTATTTCTTATGGAGAATAAATAAACTTAGTAAAATAATCTTTTTTTTAGGACATACTTTAATGAAATTTGGAAAATTCATTACTTTATACTAAGCTATCAATATTTCAATAAATACACCGGAACCATCTTTATTGAAAAAAAACTTTCAGATCATATTTGGATCGTATTGGTAAATCACTATCTTTTCTTTTTTTGACAGAGGGCCAGGCTTACAAGTAACCATGGGATTGCATCGCAGCTGGAACAGCTTATTGTGCACCCTCATTCACAGGTCCTCATTCTCCGTAAAATCCCAGGCCCTTTGTGAACCATGAGATCATTTTTGACCATGGTGATCTGTTCTTCCCTTCGATCACCAGTCGATAGGCCAAGGGATCTCATACGCAGGCCTTGTATTACAAGGTATAAATTACAAGGAAAAATGTGGTTCGGATTCCACTATAAACTGTAGGTCCCTTAGTTGCCATTAGCTGTATGGGCTATTAATTAACAGCTGTGTCTAAGGAACATGTCGACCTTAGTCACTAACAAGACTACAAGATCGCGCCACTCATCCTACACTCATCCTTCACTCATATTTGGGTTAAAATACGCACATAGTGGCGTCCCCATCTTAAATAATTGATAATTGATAATTGTAAGGCTGGGCACATAAATATCACGTGGAAGGCTGTCTCCTCCTCCTCTCCACATTTCCTACATAAGAGGTTTTCAACTTGAATTCCCATCTTGTGTAGCTGTCCGCGGAACACCCAATGGCCGCTGATGAAGCCAACCACCTTCCGCAGGGTCTTTCTATTCAGCCCAAAAGGGCATCTGCCGCTATCGCACCAGAAGGTGTGTGCAGCATTCTCTTTGACTCTACGTTGCCTTTCTGTTCTTTCCAAGCTCCTTCGATGTTCTATGCCCATCCACTGGCGAATAGCTCAACGTGCTGTGTTGTAAGCAATACCACACGTCGACTCTGGACCCATGAGCGGGCTTTCAGCTCCTTTGTTTGCCCACTTGTCTACCAATTTTCTACGCCCATCCGTTCCTCTAATTAGTCAACAAAAAATAATATTTTTTCCTATTCTTAAGAATAACATGAGAAGTAAAATGTAAAGGCCAAAAGGCCAATGGGGCAGAGCAACAGGGGAATTTGCCTAGTTTCTCTTTCGATTGCTCATCTACAGACCAAGACCTCTTTTCAAACACCTCTACCATTGACCATACCACTATACACAGATAGTATGTGTATAGTATATGCCTCTACTAAGTTTCTACACCCAGCCGTTCTCTCAAATTAGTTGAGGGGTTGAGGCAAAAAACATGTAGCGTATTAAATCGTAGATTACTTATTCCTACTCAGCTGATAATAATTAACCTTCAGATCTGATAATAATACGCTGGTTATGCTATCATAGGTTTTGTGGAGATGCATAATCAATGGTTTCCAAAAGTTATAGGCCTTCTCTATATCCACGAGTGCTCTCCTACCCCTACTGAAAAAAAATAAAATAGTGTCGTCTGCCGAATTGCTTTGCTTTGGCTTTCTGCTAGTGCTAGACTTTGACGAGACCTAGACGAGCTTGAAAATGAACTACTAGGCCTAGTATTTTTTTTGTTTTTATGAATAGGCCTACTCTTGATTTTATTCCATCCTCTAATCTTTGTTGTGTGGATTATGGTTCCGGAATTTTCGAATTTTATATTTCGCAACTGGTAAGTCGTTTTCAATATTTACACTTGTCTTTAAATATAAAAGTAAACACCGGTATGCCTCAGAGAGAGGTTTTCATTCAACCTCAACTAGGTAGCATCTATATTCTACATTGGTAGCTAGGGATGAGCATCGATAGGTCAACCATCAATGTTCACCATCAATTAACCAAGATTGTGAAAACTACGATCATTGACTAAGGACTACGATGTTTCGGGGACCATGTTTTTTATGTTTTTGTTTTTACAGTTTTTTGTCTGCTGTCTGTACTCTCTAGTAATGGAAAACATCGATACTTATACCACTTCCACGATTTAACAAAAACATCGGTAACCTACCATCGATGTAAACAACATCGAACATCAATAGAAACACATCCATGTTTAAAAAACATTGACTACCGATGCTCATCCCTGATGTTTTGTTTAAAGGTTGTTTGAACATTTTTGTAGGAATATCAATTATGTAGTAACTTATTAGTAGTAGTTTTGCAACCCAAATTCAACACAAGTAGGTAAACTTATACAATTGTCTAAATGTAGTTCCGTTAACATAATACCATAGATAAAACATACTCCCTTAGTTGGTTAGTCTATGATAATACCTTCTAGGTGTTTCGGTTTAGGTTTGATGGAATAGCCTAGTTCATGTACCTAACTTATTTAATTGCCTATCATACTAGATTTAAACTGGAAATATTAGGTCTCCTCGAAAAAACAAGTTCTAAGTTATAGGTAATAAATCAACTAAAATGGTACCTATTCAAGATAGACAAATAACATCCATGCCTATTTGCCTAGGCGTACCTTAAATGTTATAGCCTACAAGACTACAGATAATGTTTTTAAAGGTAAAAAAAAATTAAGATGCCAAATTAACTTTGTTTCTTTACAGATTATGTCCCAGCCTACAGCAAAAAAAGTTTTAAATCTTTATCGAAGCCTTATCCGTTATTCAAAAAACTTGAAATATACAGACAAAGAATACTTTTTGAACAGAGTGCAGGAGGAATTCAGGAAAAATCAGCATGAAGAAAAACCAGACATTATAGAATTCTGTTATAAGGTAATCGAGTAGAGACTGATGTGGTAAAATACCACCACTGCAACAATCCTGCAGACTAAGCCAATTTCAATTTGTCTTATTGGGTTTTTACTGAAATATTTCCATAAACAAGACATAAGTTAACTGACAAGTGTTTTTTTATAGGATTAAATAAATAAATTTGCCAAATTTGATCAAGATACCGGTACATCCATAAATTAGCAAACTACAACAGTTTTCTTTTTCGCCTTAAGAATAACATGGTAATCTTAAATACAGTTTTTGGGAATTTCTTCGTAACGTTGAGTTTTACAAGAAAGCTTCAATATAGCATACAAAATTCTTTATGTTCTTTGACCAAGATGACAGTTAAGCCTAATTAAAATTGGGCATTTTCATGTTTTAAGGGTAAAATGTGAAGAAAAACAACGAACATTTTAAAATCCGCTATAAATTACATAAATATAGTAGCCTAATGGGCTATTTAAAATATTTCAAACTATAGTGGAATAGATTACAGAATAGGACCGGAACCAGTTCGAGTCGGGTGGGGTGAGGGCAAGCGGTATCCAATAAGCTTTCAGAAAACTGTCCACTGTTGCCAAGCTGTGCCTCGCACTCAGTCTTTGCCCGACAGCCGACCTGTGCGTTTCGAGCATATCCTCTTGTTTGGTCAAGAAATTGCCTTAAAGTGTGCTTATAATTCGAAACAGGCCAGTAACAAAGCTACAAAAGGCATCTCACTCCATTCTACACTCATCCTTCACTCATATTTAGGTTAAAATACGCTCATAGGTGGCGTCCCCATCTCAAATGAATACTTAATATGGTAGATTGTATCCTCTTCATTTCCATGTTAATTTTGTTTCATGTATTAAACAATAAGCTGAGCAATATTTTAGAAGATTTTTAGAACTGCTATACAAATTGTTTCGTCATAAAAATTTACTGTTAAATTTATTAATTTTATGTTTAAATATATTTTTCAAAAACTGCATCTGGTAGCTGTTTGAGCCATGTTAAAGACAATTGTGTAGCAAATAATCAAACCTTATGTATGGGGTGAATTTTGTGTTCCATACGATATAAAAATATAACAATACTAACCTAATACCACCAAGAACAAATAAATTATTAATTTGTAGTGTTGAACTGAACTACCCTACAAGTGGGACGATACAGGGGGGTGCCGGGCTCTAGGTGAAAGTCAGCTCACCAGCCAAGAACGAAGTGGCAACGTCGCATCCCCTACCTCTTCAAAGGCCGGTCCTATTCTGTAATCTATTCGACAATAGTTTTACTTATACTCATTCTGATTAGGAATGTTTGATTTTATCAATTTAGGGTTAGGCCTGGCACACACGGCCGATTTTCTGGCCGAATCACCCTTGATTTATGTCCAGGCGCACACGAGGCAATTTTTTAGTCGGCCATATGACTGATAACAATCTGTACGTTACAGATTTTCGGGCGACAATCGCCTCGCCTACGAATCTGTGGCAAAACTCAGATTTTTAAATCGGCGCAGTTCTTGATCGCCTGTGTGCGCGCTTCCATTCAAATACATGATGCACAGATCGGCCGATGAAATAGTCGCCTCAAAATAATCGCTCGTGTGCGCCTAGCCTTAGGGTATCTAGTAGGAGTTTTATGTGTTTTATTACCGTAACTAATTACTTGCAGAAAGGACAAGCTCTGCTGAAGTACAGACGAGTTGTATGATGCTACAGAGCTGGTCTATGGTGAGGCGGCTGGTTACCACGGTAGTCGTTCAGATCAACAAGAATAAACTAGACTACTCCCTGGTCCCTAAGGTTGGTTTGCCAACATATTTTGGGGGAAACTGCTAAGTTAGTGCTCATTTTTCATCTTTTTTGATAGAGTAGTCTCGAATAGTCCATCTGATCATTTTTGTTATATTTCTTCTGAATTAGCCAACCCTCTCTGCAGACTATCGAGTCTCATGAAATTGCTTGGCATTTCTGTGTGGTTTGGTTGTCTAAGTGTGCTAGTCTAAGTTACATTAGTTACCGCTGATTTTAGCATACCACAGCCGGTTCAGTTTGGCTAGACTAGGCCTACTGCAAAAATTATAATATAACTTGAATTTTTAAACTCTCAAAATGCTTTTGTATAGTTACAAATTGTTAAAAAACTATTTTTAACAACTAACTATTTTCTAACTATGATACACTATGATACACTCCATTATGATAGTACATTTGTAAAAATATAGAAATTTTATAGAAACATTTAATTACATAAACAAGAGTTTGTAATGGCAATGAATACTCCTAGATAAAATTAACACTTATTTAGATTCTGAACAAAATGTTTCGGATTGATTTTTAGTGAATCTTGCTTAATGTGCAAGAAGTTGCTTGTTTGTTAAGATCCGATTTACGGTGTAGCTTTAAGTTTAGCCGTAGACCTATGTAATAACAAGTAATTCCCACTCTAGTAATAGGCAGTTCACTCACGTTAAAAACGTTAAAACTACACAAAAAAGTGTTGTTGATTTTTTTATTTTTCTTTCAAATGTTTAGGAAGTTAGATTTTTCCAACTTATTTTGTTTTTTAAACTCTTGCTTGTAGAACTGAAAATAGACTGGTTTTTATCTATTTCCTATCGGTTTGTCTATAGTTGGTAGAAGAAGACTTGAAGGAACAGTTTGTAAGAGGGTCAGGTCCTGGTGGCCAAGCTACGAATAGAACCAGCAACTGTGTAGTTCTCACTCACAAGCCTTCAGGTGAGACTAGAGTATTGTTATTGAGTATTGGTATTGTTGGTTGAGTAGTGTATTGTAGTGATGGGCGATACGGACGCGTATCGCGATACAGCGATACGATACATATCAGAAAAAAATATCGTATCGCCGTATCGAATCGGGCGTCTGTATCGCGATACGCGAATCGTATCGTCAAAAATATCGAAAAACGATACGTATCGTATCGTTTCCCCCCTCCCCTACCTAACCTAGAAACGGAAAATTTATATAAGCACCTGGGGACCAAGCTTTGCTCGGGGAAAATCATTAGTTTACTCTGAAAACAGTCTTAGTATTGCAGATACATTAATTCATTTCCACACTCCACACTGCTCGCCTTTACTACTTCCTTTACAACTCCCTACGTCTTGGACCTGTTTGCCTATCTTTCCCATAGCATTTTAGGATTGCAGATACATTAATGTAATTGCCACAGACAGTTCCCACACTCTGCACTGCTAGTGCTAGATAGCACGCTAGTGGAAATGGACTGGACTGGGATGGGACTGGTACATTATCAAGTAAAAACCAAAAATACAGATGTCAAAAACTCCTATTTCAAATTTTACTCATCCACAGAGTACAGATTTTGCAGTTTGCTCGTCATGCACATTTGCGAAAAAAAAAGCTTAAAAATATCGTTTTGACATGAATCGTATCGCTCTATGTGCCGATATAAATACAAATATCGTTTTAGGCGATACGATACGTATCGTTTTTCAAATATCGTATCGTCCCTCGCGTATCGCGATATTCCGATACGATACGATACGTATCGCACATCACTAGTGTATTGTATTGTAAGTTGTTATGTTATCATCAAATTAATTTTAAAATTTGGCTACCGATGACTCATAAATGTGTCACACCAAATCTATTTACATAGATAAGCTGTATAAACAACCAATGGTCCAACTATTTATGTGAGTCGGTGGCTCAGTCGGTAGGCTCAAGGACTTCGGCCCCAAGGCAGCGATGTCAAGGGCTCGGATCCTGGTCACTGCCGCAAACCTTTTATCAGTACAGTTCACTTCAGTGGCGGTTCCAGAGAGGGGGCCATGGGGGCCATGGCCCCCCCCCGAGATTTTTTTTTTTTTTTTTTATTTAAACATTTATTTTATTTACATGAATAGACTATTACACGCACATAAGCATGTTGGACTATAAGTGTCACTGAAGAGTTGAAAGACTTGGACAAACTGTGTGTCTGGAAAATCGTGGGAAACCCCGCTCTGCACTCTGTAGCAATGCAGTCTGGGCAGTGGGCGTGGCACCGCGTCCGCGCGCATCCGCGTTTCCTGCCATCCGGTACGTCACCGTGTCGATCATACCTCCACATTACGTTACACCTACACTTGTGGCTCAGCTCAGTATTCGTTTTGTTAATTTGTTACGTTTTTTGTTGTGTTTGTTATTAAAACACAGTTTTACAAGATATAACCAATGTTCATCTCCATTTGAGCGTCTTGAGCTCAAGCACCGGACAAGATTATAATGGTAAGTACTGATCATGAAAGTTTTTAAATCCTAGGCTTAGTTGTTTTCTAAGTTAGGTTAGCCTAGACTCGAAATTGAGCAACCGCCATTAAACTTACTACCACTCATGTGTAGACATTAACAAAGTCGCAGTGGCACAAACAGTAAGCGATTGTAAAATATCGATGTTATAATATTCATTGCGTTTGTGTTTTTTTTCATTGCGACAATGCCACGGCAATCGGCAGCGGACAGATCCGCAGAACAGAACGCCGTTTTTGAAAAACTATAATAGTTTTGACGAAATCGTCGACAACTAGTTTATGTACCGACAATCTAGATACGGTAGTTAGTTGTTGTGTGGAAGTGGGTCTTGAAATAACCGAATTATTAAACTCGTCACCGCAACTTCCACATGTTAATGTTATGTTAAGTTACGGCAATATAGACAAATAGTAATAAACTAAGCGCTGTGTATGTTGCGCTGTGGAGTGTGGGAATGGTACGTAGGTCGGAAGTCTCACAGGAAGTATACGTATTGTTTGCTATCAAACCTGAGTTATTTTATTAATTATTTAATAATTATTTATTTGTTCCACAACTGCTTGGGTAGTTTTACTTTAGTTAATAATTTATGTTCAAATTTGTAGACGCTTGTGGTGTATTTTCAATTATTAGTTTTTATATATATATATATATATTATATATACAGTTAATAAAATTCAGACGTAATGTTTTTCAGTCAGTGTGGCAACAGCGGAAAGGTCGTTCTCCACATTGAGGAGAGTGAAAACATGGCTACGGGCGAGAATGGGGGAGTACCGTCTTACGGGTCTTTGTCTACTTCACGTTCACCGGGATATTGAAGTAGATACTGAAAAAGTGATCGAACGTTTTGCCAAAAAGAGTGAAAGACGACTTGATTTTGTTTTGTAAATAGCCTAAGATCTAACAAGGATAACTATCATAGAATTCACTGTTGAATTTCCATTTTGTTTTACATGTAACTTAAATAAAAAAAAAAACTGGTACTATAGCCTAATTATTGTCCAAAAAATCATGTTCCTCAAATCCCTTGATTGTTAAAATCTCACAATTTGCTTTTAAACTGTGTAAAAATGTTAGGTTAGGTTAGGCAACGTCAATAATGTAGTAAGCGAGAAACTTTTTTATTTTCTGAAACAATAATTGTTGAAGGAATACAATGCGCGTCAGCATTATGAAACAAAATATTTAAAAATAGATAATGTGAAATTACAGGGACAGTAGAGCAGACAAAGTTGTATCACTGAACAAAGTAGGTAAGTTTTGCACTAAAACTCTCCTTTTCAGATTACAAGAGATTAAACTTTTTCTTCGTCAGAGTGCTTAAAATGTCGACTTTGTAAGTATAATTTTCCCCGGACCCCCCTTGCGCAATGGGGGGTATTCCATACCCCCCACACCCCCCGGTGGTCGAGATAGAATGGCCCCCCCCCCCGAAAATTAGCCCTGGAACCGCCCTTGGTTCACTTTCGTACTGTATCGGCTAACCCCTTGCTTTGCTTTGCTAGATACAATGATACAATCCACGCACAGGCAGTTAGTCTATGTGGATGAGGAAATGCATGAAAAGAGGCCGCTGAGGTCTTAAAAAAAACCCCCATGTTAGGGAATGAATTGCTTTGATCTCCTGGACTGAAATGGGACTGTCTATAAGTTAGTTATGGAATAGGCTAATTTAGGAGCTATTGCTGTTGGTCTTGGCTTGGTTAATAATGATTAGATTACTGATGAAGATGATTGGTAGTTAAAATGTAAAATTTGTGTGTAAACTTTATCCTTGGTAAACATTATTCGATAAATAGATTGTCTTTTGAGGATTTGGGTCTTGTCTGTCATTGTCTATTTGATTAAAATTTATATTTTAGTATATCATCTCTTGATTTCATCATCTTAAGGCTTAATACAAAATTTTCATTGGATATCTATCCTATTGGCTTTGGTTCCACCATTGCCATGATATAGCCTACACATAGTATTTGCAAATATGGTGCGTAAATAATTGAATGATTTAAATAAAAGTTTATATCTCCCTACTTGACTTTGTTAGTCAAAGATAACCTCTAAAAAGTTAGCTTTATTTATTCTAACGGTTTCTCCATTGTAGGTACAGTTTTGTACTAAAACTAAATTTACAAGATGGTATAGTAAGTTGTAAATATGTAATTCATGCTAACTCAAACTTTATGTAAGAGTCGAGTGAGGAAGTCACTGGAAAGTGAAGGGAATTGCCTATAAGCTGTAGCAAAGTGTAGCCAAGTACTTAGGAGATTTAATTGTGCAGAGCTTGTCTTGTTCGAAAAATATAGTTGAAGGCTGGACATTGTACCGATTCAAATTCAAATCAAAAGAACGTGCGTGAAAACAAGGAAACAACAACGGCCAAACACGTGAACGCGGAGTGATATCTAACTTGAAACGTTGAAAAGTTTTCCAACGGTCGTACACTTGGGGACCAGACTTCTATCGGCGATGATCGGAAATTCGTAATTCTCAACTCAATTCGTAAAAAAACCACTCTCGGTAAATCATTACGTGTGTATCGGTAACGAGAAACAATTGTTTAATCTCCGGAGTGTCTAGAAAATCTTATCGCGAAACAACGAAAGTAAAATTAAATGAATTGAAATATTTGAGTCTGACCGTCCGACATCGATCGAGAAACTTCGTAAAAAATTGATCGTTTTGCGTAGTCATCCCCAAGTGCAGTTTTTGTAAATATATTTTTAAGTGTCATCTATGTGTCTTCATTGTATTTAAGTAAATGTACTGTGAAAATTGTATTTATAGTGTGTAATCGAGCCAATCTGTCCATATTGAATATTTAATCATGTTTTTGCAGCATTCATGTTTTATTATGTTAGCTAGTCACATGTTTCAAATTTAGAGTCGTTTACATTTATTAAGTACTGTAAAACATTTGTAGATTTTACATAGATCAAATATTTGGAAAAGAGTTTTATATCAATCGTATTTTATATTGTAATTTTTACATCAAACTTCATTTTTAAATATTTTCAGTTCACATTGTATAGCCGTCACAGACTTTGTTCTTTTGCGAACTACATTTAATTAATATTAAAGTAATTAAATTTCATTTTCAACCCCCACCAGGGGGCAATTTTTTGGTTTACTCACACCTCTATGGAATATCGAAATTATATTACATACAGGTGTGAGTTATTGTTTGAAGAAATGAAATGGTGATATTAAAGTAAAGAATCTTTTATTTTTTACTTACAAAAGAATATAGGAAATATTCTTTTCATTTTTCCTTACAACATCTTTAATCTCTGACGGCTCAAGCGCTGCCAGCCCCCAATTTTGGCCACTGGCATTAACTTCACTTTTTTGTTTTAATCAGGAATAATACAGGATACTCAAATAACTGCATTAGCAACATATATCAATGTATTAGGAAATACAGGTTACCTATGGATTCATTATAGTAACGTTACATCATCAAAACGTTCATCAGTCAAAATTATATTATAAACCATAACTCAGTTGAGAGGTGTATATGTGATCAGAGCCCGCAACTGTGACACATGCGCAACGCATGCGGTTGGTATCACTGCTGCACAGTTTTGATAGAGCGCAGCACTGAACGGTGAACATTCTTTTTCCTCTTTACTTCCGCCTCGCCGGGTGGAGCCCATGCAACAGTCTCATTTGTTCTCCATCATGTGTCGTGAATAACTGATCGTAACTCTAGTTTGTCTCTCTCTCTCCCTTTGTGGCCGCGATGACCTTCCGGTATTGGTATTATTATTATAACTATTAAAATTGATGTAAAAGTATCTAAATTATAACAGTAACAGTATAGTGTAGTATAAAGTGTAATCCTTAAAAGTGTAATTGGCATCTAAATTTCTTTTGTGTAATAAACCATCTTTTTTTTGTAATCTTTTCGAACTCGTTATTTACTCCAACACTTCCCACTGGGTGCCTTGATGAACAACGAGAGCTTGAGCTACAAATCGACAAAGTAACTATTTTGGAAGAATTTCAAAGAATTGTAATGAAAAGTCCCTCCACAGTTTAAGCTTCAAAAATGTTTTTCCCGGTGTTGCAGGTATTGTAGTCAAGTGCCATGAAACAAGGTCTCAGGATCGAAATCGGAAACTCGCCAGGGAAATTTTAGTCACCAAATTGGACAACCTCATTAATGGAGACAAATCCATTGAAGCTCAAACCAAGGCATTGGAGAAACTAAAGACTGTCAAAGCTGATCAAAAACGAAAAAAGCTTGCCAAGTTGAAAGATAAATGGAAAGAGCAAGAGGGTATTACTTAACTTTGTACTAGGAACGGTTATGTAAATTCGTATAAACGGTTATTTTCATTTTGTTATAAATTTATTTCCTGTTGTAAGAGTGGGAAATAGACAGAGTCCATTCCCCATTCCTATGGAATTCTGCTGCCTGTTCTATAATAGAAAACTTAGTACTTAGTTCAACTGAGCCACTACTTTTGAACTGCTGTTGTAAAATACCTATTTATCACTTAAAATGTTTATTTAGTCTTGCCAAACTGGAAGAACAAGAGAAAAATACCCTCTTTCTGTGTGTCATGAATTTTATCTTGTGCTTCAATCAGACCATGCTAATTTAATAGCTCTTAATATTAGAATCTAAAGCTATTTAGCTTGCTACTAGTACAGTGTCAGATGTACATTAATACACTTTGCTAGTGAGCATAAATAGCTCAAGACATGTAAGCTAGCACTTGGGCAATGAATACATGTATTCATTGTAGAGGTAAGGATAAGACCGGACTGCAAACATTTCCGCTGACTCTTGGAGTTGACTCCCCGTGTTACACGCACTTGAGCGCCTTGACGAGGGTCACAAGGACAGTTGACACAAACCCTATGACGGCATGTTTTTTTTTAACTACTGTAGATACTAGTAGCACAGACTATAGAGTAAACATTAATTACTCTATATACTATAGAGTAACCTGTGCTGTGTGTGTACTATAGAGTAGTCTGTGCTAGTAGCGATCGGTCAGGTGTCAGCTTACGTGTCACGAGCTATACCATATGTGGTCTATTAGAGATCTTAAGGATGCAATGTCGACTTCAGTATTCAAAGTAAATGCTTCATCCACTCTATTCTAAGAGTCTACCACAACAATCTACTAGTATTACTATTCCACACACCCTGGTTTAGTCTTCTCATGCAAAGAAATGTGTATAAGGAAATTAGATTAGCCATTATTCAATTGCTAAAATAATATTTATTTCATAAACACTAACATAACACACTTCATATTATTATGTACACAATCTTTAACAAGCCTCTTCTCTTCGTACAGGTTCTAAAATAGATCTAATTGTCTACAATTTTGTGACATAGAGTCAACCTTTTAGGACTTGCACAAATGTCATCCTAAAAAACTCTGAACTTGTCCCTCCTAGACTTCTGCGTCTGGCCTGGAGGGTAGACACAGTCTGATTGCACAACGACCCTCATATCATCCACAGTCATATCGTAACGTGCCAGAACCCGTTTCAACTCATCCACAATTGTGTCAGACATGGAAGGGCTTCGAGATAAAAACCACATGTCCATGTTTGCATCCGGATCTATAACATTTTAGGATAACTTGTATTAATGTCATGTGTTAATTTTATTTAATTTGTATATGTGGATAATCAATATGATATTGTGGCTGAGGTGAGAAGTAGGAGATTGAGATGGGCGGGCTAAATATGTGTTGAGGAAGGAAGAGGGCTACTTAGTGAGAAACATCCTAAACAACAACCCTGAGGGTTGAAGACCTCCTGGAAGGCCCAAGTCTAAGTGGAGAGATCAAGTGAGAAGAGACCTGAGAAGAATGGGAAGAAGGGAGGAAGAAGCAGTGGATCGTGCAGTCTGTACCTCCTTGGGTACCAAGAGCCACGGCAGTAAGTAAGTATGTGGATAATCAAAAGCACTTCTGTCAAGCAGTAGAGTTAAGCATTCCTCAGTTATACAGTCTCATTGTTGAAACTTTAAATTTTCTAGTACTCCCTGCATAATATAGAGATTTTCATTACTAATACTGCCCCCACCCCGATTTTTTGCTTCATACTAAATTATCTATCTAATGACTTGTCCATAATCTTTGAGGTAAGACAGTGCATGAACCATCTATCTATATATCTAATTCCGTAAGCCCAAAATTTTACAATGAAATTGTGAGTGAGCGAACGGGAGGCCGTAGAAAGCTGGGAGAGGTCTCATTTTAAAGGTCTGGGCATGAAGTTTTGGGGAAAATTATTCATTTTTCTTAATTATGCACCAAAAGGTCGTTACGTAATAAAATAATTTACATTTAAATAACATGGGAATCCAGGTCATGTCTGCTTTGGTTACTTAAAAACATGTGGTTTATTTAATTTAAAGCATATGGTAATATGTACTGTAATATGTATACTATTATAAAGCTGAAATATAGACTTTTTCCAGGGTCTGGATTAGTTAATGAAATAAGATTAGTTGTGTTAGGTATGTCTGAAAAAAGTGTAAAGTTAGAAGTAATTACTGGAGTAGGCAAAGGGAACATATTTTTCATGCCAAAAATAAAACTAACATCTAAAGATCCTAATATGCCGTTTAAGTTTAGGAATTTAATTCCTATTGCGATTAGCTTTCGATATTACTATAAATAAAGCGCAAGGCCAAACCTTCAAAAAGTTGGCATTTATTTGAAAAAAAAACCGTGTTTACCCATGGTCAACTTTATGTAGCTTTTAGCCGGTTAAAGTTGCCAGATGATGTTAAAATAGTACTAGAACAAAATAAAGACCAAAGATTCGATTAAAATGGATACTATACTCTGTTGTTTTTAGAGAGATTTTGTTATAATTAGCATTATACAATTTGGAGGATGACATTATCTCTATGTGTTTTATTTAAGTGAATTTGTCTATATTCAAAGGAATTGATAAATATTTAATTAATAGTCATACAAAATATTTACTAGAATATATATATAGGGGCTATTGCCCCTACAAGCCACTAGTTTTTTCTAAATTCAGTAGGACATTTTCTGAATGTCATTGTCAAATGGATCTTAAAATACACAATGTCACAAACACGTCAAATGAATACTAACTGATATGCTTTTTTTTGTCAACATGTCAGCACTCGTCTTCACTAGAGGCAAAATTATGAATATGAGATAAATATAAAACAACCAAATGCCCTGTCGTTAGTTTATAGCATTTTAGATCCAATACTTTTTCCATATAGGAGCATTTATCAACTCGAACTTCTGTCAAAATATAATTAGCTAAAAAAACCAAAAACTGAGTCATAGAATCAATTGCGGTTCAAAATTTTAAAAAGAAATTGTTCCTGTAATATTTTGTTTAGGGAGGTTTGGTATTACTTTGACCTCAAAATCTTTTGCATTAAGCCTAATTTTCCATTACTTAAATCTAAATCCAGGAAAATTTTCTTCTGCAGTCCAAAAGCACTGAATACTAGGCTACTTACAAAATTATACAATTTAATTGTACTCACCTTCTCCCACACAGATATGTACAATCATGAAACTTTGATAGTCATCAGATCCAAGGATTCTTACTGTCATCGTTGTGTTTTCTGCACCTAAAAGTTTGTTATAAGATTATGCATGGATGCAATGCAATCAAACTAAAGAGGTCCCTGTTTAGAAGGATCAATTTGTATTCAAGACGAATGAAGTCATGGATGTACTTTACAAATAAGGTTCTCAGCCAAAGAAAGGAAGCTACTCCTTGACATTTTTAAACTATAATAATACCCTACACGGCCTGCAAAATGGCAAATAGGTACTTTATTGTTAACTTTTTATTGGGTTTGTTGCCTTTTGTTCTTGATGTTGATCTATTCAGTATTCACAGATGTATACCTTTTTTGTCCTAGGACGCTAGGCACGAGCCTGGGATTGATTTTCACATTACTTCAGGCTGGACCTAGAGGTTGTGGCATTATCACTTAGATAAAATCCATTGGTGACTTTGCGGGATTTTAACCCGGAACTTAAGGGACTGAAGTCCCGCGCTCTAACCACTACACCAGCTCGATCCCCATGTATACCGTACTGGCACGTGTCGAGTAGTTAGTGCACCATAGGCGTCCGTCGTCCACCCAAGACGCACTCGCTGCGTTGCCGCCGTTGCCGGTGTAACCCAGTTAATTAAGTGATGTAGAGAAAAAAAAATCCTCACAAACATTTATCTATCTTTCTATCTATCTATACTATATTATAAAGAAGGGGTGGTGTCTGTCTGTCTGCGTGTTTCATTGTATGAGATAAACTCAAAAACTACTGAACCGACTGGGCACAAAATGGAACATTACTTAAACTAGCTGTTACCCACGGGCTTCACACCGTTTGACTTCATAAGTATAATAAAACTATTGATTGGTTAAGTTAAGCTCTTGGTTAAGTTACACGTTGCGCAAGAGCGTGTTTACATCATTTAGGTGAATTATGCAACTCGCTCGTTGCACAACATTCACCTGCGTGATGTAAAAACAACATTATACAATCGGGCGCACCCCGGGAAACGCTGATATGTCAGCGGCAAATCCTTCTACAACCGGAAGACTTCGAAAAATGAACACCTAGACCAGATTAGATGATCTTTTACAGGCGAATGACAAAGCCATATCGGTAGCTAATTTTTGGAAAAGCGAAGTCTGATTTCTGGACACGGAAAGTAAGTAAGTAAAACGCTCTTACTACACTTTTGTAACGTAAATAGCTATTACGCCACACTACACTATTTTGACGAACTCCCCATGCAAGGTCTTAGTCCAGAAAACAGCTGTTTGTCACCAGCTTAATCAAATGGGGTTTCATTGCGTACTACTGTACTGTAATCAATATGAGTTTTACCGGACACCAATCAGCTGATTATATTGTATTTGGGTGGCAATGAGTGGTTATAAGAAAATTACTAGTGATTTTTAGTCCTTTAGTTGGTGGTAATATATAAAGATTTGAACGGATTTATAGTAGTATAGCGCCTAAAGCGGAAACTATCGTACGTCACTCGTCCAAAATGTGTTTACCGGACCCGTATGAATGGTAATCCCATACTCATCCGGTAAACACACTTATTTTCAGGACTAGTAACGTGAAAATATACACTATTATCGGTTTTGAAGGATTAACTGGCTGGGTAGCTGAGTGGTTATAGTGCTCGCCTAGTAATCAAAAGGTAGCCGGTTCGATCCTGAGAAAAGTCAGTAGCTTTTTGATAGTTCAAAACTGGACCCAGCTGTTCCTGATCATTGGGCTTTAAATAAATGATCCTGACTAATGAAACCGCTGATCAGTCAGTAACAAAGCTACACAGGTCATCACACACCATTCTACACTCATCCTTCACTCATATTTGGGTTAAAATACGAACCTATGTGGCGTCCCCATCTCAATAATTGATTGATTGATTGATTGATTCAATCTTGTTAATAGAGTTGATCTAATTTTATGTAGGTATTAGTTCTTACAGTACCTATTGCAAGTGTATAATATTGAACCATAGACTAACCAACACAAGTAGACTTCTCATCCCATTGTAAATTTTGAAGCTCGTTTTTCATGTCTATTTCATGTACGCAACACTGGGCGCTAGTGTCGAGAAATTTTGTTTATATTATTTTAGGGTTAATTTCTTGATTTGTGCTTTACTGTTTGGTTAAATAACTAGGGGACAATTTATTGTTTATGATTAGATCGTCATTTGGTTAAACGAGGGTTTAAATGACTGTATTAATGGAAAACAGATTGTAAACAAAACACGACCTCTACATAACCCGTACAGAACTAACAATAAAATTGTCTTAAGCTGTTGCATTATGATGAGAAATCTACTAAGGGAGTAATACTCCCATACTATGTTTTATCTATGATTGAACTTACTTTGAATTATGTTTTATTGATACGGGTAAATTGATCTTATTTCAATTTTAATTCAACCTACGCAGCTGCATGGTTCAAACAGAACTAAGCAATGTAGGAAATAATTGTTTTTATTTCTGCCTCTGCTAGCTAACTGCTTGAATTTTTGATTGTGTTGTGTTGTGGTTGTGTTCACTGTTCAGTGTTGTGATTGTGGGGATTTCTTGTCTTTGTCGTTGTCAATTAGTTGTCATCCATCCCATTGTTCGTATTTTTTACGTCTTGTCATCTCAGCATTTCCCATCCCACAAACAAAAACATCAAAACTCTGTGATCTTTACTTTATAAAATTTCAGTTTTGTTCTGTGATAAATCTATTTTTTTAGTAATTGTTTTGTAATAGGCCTAGGATAGTAACTTACATTAACCATAACCACGTTTAAGTTACCACAGCCCTACACACAAACGTAAATTTATTTTGGTAAGTTAATATTTTTTTTTAGTTCTTGTAACTGGTATTATAATAGTTAGTCTCTTTCAGAAAATTAATTGGGTACAGTTTCTTTACTGGGCTATGCTAATATCCATTGAAACTAACTTATAGAATTGAAAATATTGATTAATAATCGATATTTTTAAATATTATATTTATTATAAAATTAAACTATCATAACCTAACCTAACTAGCTGATGGTGAAAAAAATCGCATGAAGGTTTACTAATCAAATCGATAGTTTCAATCAATAACTTATTAGCATAGCCCAGTTAAGAAACTGTACCCAATTAATTTTATAATGACGTGCTTTATCATTGTTTTACTTGCTTAAATTATAGTCTGGTAGGTACGGTACTTCGGCTCCTAATTTAACTTCAACCGCCCTATTATTAACATTAAGGAACCCGTAAGGGGTACAGTTTCTTAACTGGGAAATCCTAACATCAATTGAAAATGTCAATTAATAACTTAATCCACATTTTAAACTCCCTTTATCAATTAATTAAAATGTATATTAATTGTTACAACCTAACCTAACTGAACAAACTGCCTAATATTGAAAAAATTTAATGAAGGTTTACTTATCGAAACGATAGTTTCAATCGAATTAGGGTAGCCCGGAGCCCAGTTAAGAAACTATAAGGTATACCTACCCCATTTAATTAAGAGGCCTAGTTAATACCTACTTACCCTATTCTTAAATACTTTCTTATTAAATGGCGATCATATTAAGTAGGTATTTTAAGCCGAGTACGAATGGAGATGAGTGTTGGATGAGTGGCGCGATCTTGTAGTCTTGTTAGTGACTAAGGCCGACATTCCTTATAGACACAGCTGTTAAAAATAGCCCATACAGCTAATGGCAACTAAGGGACCTACAGTTAATAGTGGAGTCCGAACCACATTTCTGCCTCGTGTGGACATTAATCCACACCAGGGAGTATTGCATCCACAGTGCATGCCTATAAATATCCACAATTCGTGACCTCCTAGTAGCTGGATTACAGGACGACGCCAGTTAGGCCTACTTATACTGTGACAGGGGCTTTGTGGACGCCAAAGGATTAAAATTAGGTGACCATTCGTCAACACACACTCATCAGCTCGAGCACAATGTGACCTGCCTTATCGCCCGTCCGTGGTGCGTGATTCATATAATTTAATACCGTTGTAACTTTTACTAAAATAGGTAGTACTGAAGCTTTGAATATTTGTTGGGTACTTTGTTATTATCCGGAGGCCACCCTAATAAAGTGTGCTGTGGCGATCATGTTAGGTTGGGTTATCATAAATATGTTTGTAGGACTTTCCAAGTTTTTTTATGAATTGAACGATACCATATGGAGTCATACTTTCTCCCGCCAAATCCCCTCCAAGTAGGCCAAGGTCAGGTTATTGACGATGCGGATCACCTGTCACCGCCTGTATCTGCTGGGTCATTATCCTGAGTGATTTATTGTCGTGCACTAGGTTAGTTTTGTCTCGCTAGAAATGAGAAGTAACATTCTTTGTAACAAAACAAGGAAAGTCCTACAAAACATATTTATGATAGCCCAACCTAACATAACATATATATGCACACTTATATAATGACAAAAAGAATTTATTTAAGGACTGTCAGCTGTGCTGCAGTCCATAGGTTCTGGCGCACACCCCTGGAAGTGCCGTGTAGCTAAGCTACATAGCACGTACGCCATAACTACATGGCGCTCCCGGCAGTGTGCGCCAGAACCTTTGGTAACGCAGCACAGCTGACGGTCTATATTTAATTATTTTTGTCTATGATAATGGTGACATCCGTTTCAAATCAATCCTCGCTTCAACTCCGACATCGCTGCCTTCTGGGAGGCAGAACCCAAAGGCCGCTACTCGTAATCATGTCAAATTTGGACAGTAGTATAGCAACGCTGGTGGCGCTGCCTACGGATTGAGAGGCAAAGCTCTCTCAAAACACTTAATGCTTTTTACCATGCGGTTGGCATTCTGGGTTATAGTAGTACGTTTTCTGTGTTAGTAGGTAGGCCATACATTAAATCTAATACTTAATTATATGAACAGAAACTCAAATAAACCTTAGATTTCCTACATGACTCTGGTTTAATCTGATATAGCTTGAAATAGATTTAACATCCGCACACATTAAAAACTAAAAAGTAGAAAATAATTTATAAATAAAAAACTTTTTTAAAACAAAACGTTTTAAAACACACTAAAAAGTAGAAAATAATTTATAGGAGAGTATAACTACTTGTAAGATTTAAAACGAAAAACGTGGGGTGCATGCAATTTATCATAATACTTTAGTTCAATAGGTGAAGGTAATTGTAAATTATCTATTGCGTGCACCCCACGTTTTTCGTTTTAAATCTTACAAGTATTTTTACCCTCCACATATTTATAAATTATTTTCTACTATTTAGTGCGTTTAAAAACGTTTTGTTTTTAAAAAAGTTTTTTATTTATAAATGATTTTATGGTGTTTTTGGCCTCTGGAGATGTCAACTTGAAGAAGTAAATCTGGTCCGGATCTATGTCTTACCATGAAACTTACGGTAATAGCTTATTCCCTATGGTCAATTTACCAAAACAGCTCTGATTACAAAAAATATTGTATAATGTCGTATGTCAAACTTGTTTAAAACAATCAGGTCTATTGGAAACTTAAATTAACTAGAATGCTTTGTGGCTACTTAAAATTCAGTTCTAATTTCATCACATTTATGTTGGTCTTACCCATTAAAGAAACATGAAAAATGCTGGACGAGTTGTCTACTACTTTCATGTTAAGTTGGTGAGCATCATATTTTCCGGACCTAAAAGAATCCGCTAGATTAGTACGTTTAAGATTAGAAATTTAGTAGGCTGGCTACCTCTTATTTTATGTTCAAATCTCTACTGGTACCCATTTCTATGTAGGCATAATATGGTTTGTAACAGTGTTCAATACACTATGAATTGTAATTTTAAATTTATTGTACTAAATGCTTTAGTTCTCAACTAGGTCTATGAAATTTCACTGCACTAGAAAAATGTGGCTTCAATTTTACTGGAACCAAAATAGAGAACCATTCAATCAAAAGCTTCTTTGGCTATGTCACAATTCTTTTTTTGTAGAATAAAAAAATGGTTAAAATATACAATGAGTCAGTGTTTGGCTTGAGATTACTTACCGTATGCATAAAAACCATGTAACAGGAAGTTTAACGAGTAAAAAAACGATATTACTAGAGAGAAGGAAACTGCTACAAACAAAAAATATTTATTTCTAAAATTTCTGAAATCCTACTGACTTTTGTCTAGATAAAGGTCGATGTTTAAAAATCTGTTTGAAGATAATGTTGTTTTTAACGTTTATAAAGCATGAGGTTTCATTTTGAATTGGACTTATCAACAATTTAAATGCCCAGGTTATTTTTTTATTATAAAAACATACTTACATCATGTTGTATGAATTTTCAGTGACATTGTACTCAGGAACGAATGGTTCTGCAATTGCAGAGTTGAAATCATAAACGGTGCAAGAGCAGGGTGATTCTCTATCTGTAAAAATATGTTTTTGATTTAAGTTTTTTTGTTACTTATTTTATTTTACTACTAAGGAAAGAAGAAAGAAGTATTAAAACATGAACCCAAAAAAAAAACTCGTCCGACTGTTGGAAGCTGTATTATACTCAACCTTGGCTCAATTTTTAGTAAGTTAGGCTACAAAACGTTTTTGTTGATATTCAGATTGGGAGGAAAGAGGTAAAATGTTTAAAAGTTTTAGTTTTCACTTTTTTTAAATGCAGGGCCGTATTTCCCTAATGAATACTGAGATAATTGATTAAGAAATTAATTATGTCTGGCCCGGACCTAAGACTCCTAATAGTATTATTTAAAAAATAACAGACTTATTTATTAGCTAGTCTCCTAGGTCTTCTTCTGATCAGTCTTTTTTTGATTGTTGGAAACAAAAGGTCAATTCATCAAGTTGAAACAATACCACGTTTATTTATAAACTCATAAGTTCTAACCTTCCCAATCAGAAAATAGAGGGGCCTCTGGTGAGAGCCGCCAGGGGCCACATAGATCTGAAATACAGCCCTAGTAAAATGTGGTCATTCCTATCTGTTAAAAAAACTAGATACAATAATTTATTCTCTTACAAATATGTTGTACAATGAACAACCTTACATTCTTCGAACATTGTTGTTTAGAAATATATAAATATTAAATATTTTGCACATCCTCAATGCGTAACTGGACCATCCTTTACAATTTCAGGGAACATGACAGCAAATTTGTTTATTTTAACCCCCTTTTCAAATGTCCAAAGATAGCAACAAAACTGTACAATATTGAACCACATACCCACCCATTTAATTACTTGTGTTTCCCGATCTTTGATAATTAGATTTGTATGAATGAAAATTATTTGCACTCACTAAATCCAGTACATTCAGCAGGTTTTGACAGTGTTTCCTTTTCTTTCATTGTGTCTTTATTTTTCACTGCCATTAGGTACCACCTTCCACTGGCCTAAATAATAACATAAAAAACTTTAATTTCACCACCCTTGCTTTCAACAATTTTCATTTTATTGTTGACTTTATTGAAGTAAAATTGTTATCCAATATTACTATCAAACATTACTATTCAAGCGTCAGTCATTGGTACTGTACAAGCTAAGTAGGCCCTACTGTTTGATTTTTATAAAATTACTAGCGAAATACCCGTGCTTCGTTACGGAAACTTTCAGATTGGTTGACATTTTAAATAAATTAGTGTTTAAGTTCCAACAGCCTTCAGTCAACAATTCAGCTACAACCTGTTTTGCTCCAATCGATGTCATATTAAAGAAGCTATAATAATATCTCACTGGGTCCATAAAGTGTGTATGCTCAGGGTGGTTGCCCATGACCAGACTGAATAAAGGTTTAGGTAGATGCTGCAAAGGTAGTAGCTGCACTTAACCACCATTGCAGTACATGCTCGGTGATTATTCTTTCCATTTCAAGGCATCGCAGTACTTACATTATTTGAACATCATGGTACCTATCGCCACCGAGCTATCTCCTTCATAGTCTATTTTCGGATTGTATGCCATTGTTGATAGATGTTTCACCATCCATTATTGAATCTTTGGCAAATGTATTTCAGGATGAGTTTGTTTATACCTTTTGCTTGCGTTCTTCGCTTGCTTGTCTGTGCACCTGCTACGCCGTTTACGCCTTAATGCATTTTGTTGAGATTCCGGAATCGGCTGATGATTGGGAGAAACGGGCTCTTTTTGTGGCTCTAAATCGTCAAAGTGCGCTGGACAGGGATTGTGTCAATTTGAGCCTTTTCACGGGATTACGTTCATCACCAAACTTGAAATATAATTCGCCCTATTCCGATAAAGCTCGTAAACAAATTTGAATAACTGTGAAGCTACAACCTACCAAAAATAAATGGCTTTGACATTAAATAGAAGTATTCCCTGGAATTGAGGTAATTATTCCCGTCACTGTCCTATAGAATAAAATTGAGAAGTAGTCCCAGTTCATCACATTTTCAACAATTGCTTCGCACACAGTTATTAGTGTGTGTATGTGTGTAAGGTGATGATAAATGAGAATGAAGTAAATAAACACGCTTCATTTCCTCTGATCACTAAAATAATATTTTAAGTTAATACTTTTAATAATAAATATTAATACTTTCATACTTTAAGTTTACTTAAGTTTACTTAAGTTTACTTTAAGTACGTTAATACTTTAAGTTTATAGACAGTTAATATTTTAACTGTCTACTTTTGTTTCCCAGACATTATTTTTAGGGAAATATACCATACAAATACAATAGGTTTTTATAAACATTTTAGAAAAAAATAAAGTCAATAAGTTAATGAAATAGGTTGAATAAAAAGTCAAGACCCCCCCCCCCCCTCTAATATTTTTCCAAGTAAATATACAGAGATATCCTTTTGGTGGTCATGCAATCTTAGCAGGAAGTTTCATTTTATGATTTTGAAATTTTTGAGTGTCCCCCCAAAAGGGGGGATTTAGGGGGCAACTCAAATATTTTAAATGTAAACCCCCTTCAAGTGACACCTCATTTTGAAGTGTTTACAAAAACTTAAAGAATGGAGAAAACCATGGTTCATTATCTCTTCTCTATCCAAAATTGTTGCCAATATTACCATTACGAACCAATTTTACCATTGATTTTTCCACAACATTTGAGGGGCTACCATTTTGGATAGAGAAGAGATAGCGACCTCTAGTTTTCACCATTCTTTAAGTTTTTGTAAACACTTCAAAATGAGGTGTCACTTGAAGGGGGTTTACATTTAAAATATTTAAGTTGCCCCCCAAATCCCTCCTTTTGGGGGGACACTCAAAAATTTCAAAATCATAAAATGAAACTTCCTGCTAAGATTGCAAGACCATCAAAAGGATATCTATGTATATTTACTTGGAAAAATATTAGAGGGGAGGTCTTGACTTTTTATTCACCCTGTATATATACATACAAACTTCCTCTTTTATAAATATAGATTGTTAGCCAACTAATAATTAAAAGCAACTAATTTTTTTCAAATCAATAGCTTTGAGACCACGACAACAATGTTTAGTGGGTTAAAACTTCTTTGCCATGTCATCTTAAAAGTTGTATCTGCAAGGCCTGTTGGTTCGTGATTGTTTAATACTGACTCAATCATTGCATTTGGTTGCCATATGCTATATATAATATAAGTGACTGTAATTATTTAAATTTCTTTCTAAAAATTTGGTTAACTTACTGAATATTGTTTAGGTAGTATATTAAAAACAACTGATCTCCGTGTGATTAATATATTTTTTTCTTCAAGTTACATGTTTCAGACTAAGTCCATTTTAAAACTTCAATAAATACTAAACATTTTTAGTAATTATCTAGAGCTTGTCCCGTAGTCAAAATCTCGACCAAAAGTATGTATTGTGCAAAATTGTCTAAAATCTACAGGAAAATATCTTTCATTTGGTACCAACCGCGTGTAATTCGGTCCAGTAGTCCCTATGGTCAGGCTAGTTTGTAATGGGTTGGTGAATATTGAAAAAAAATTTATTAATTAATTAAAAGGGAAGAAGAATAATGTCAATTCAAATTCAAATTCGGAAGAAACCGCCAACAAGTTCAAATACAAAGAGGGAGGGTTGAACTTTCTAGATTGTCCGAGAACATTCTAGAAGGTTTCAGAGCACTCTGGGTAACTTCCGTGTCCGGTTCCAGAAAGATCTAGAAAGATGTAGAAGCTTCGAGAGCCTTTGGGTTGGTTTCTGTTTCCGTCGGGCAGCGCTCCTAAGGGGGGGAGTAGAACTAAAATTGAGTAGCGAGGGAGGTTATTCGGTATTCGTTCGTCAGCTAGCCACCAGATAGGGGACATCGCCATTATTCGGTGAGGGAAGTTTTGTTCAATGAGGACTGTCAGATGAATCGTCAATCACAATGTCTTTAACCTACTTATATTACGTCCCCGTGAGCATACATCAAGAAGTATCCACCTAGTTACGGTGCGATTTAGGCGATATCTACAAGGGAAGGAAATTGCTGCCCCTCACTTCACAGGAGGACATCTTGACTCCCGACGCCATGATGGTGCCTAGTGGTGGATGAATGGTCACCCACACTCACTGCTGAGACTTAAGATGAGTACTATTTAAGTAAATGTAACTTAGTAAATTTTAATCCGTGGTTGTATCTTTCCTTTTTAAATAGGCTATCAAAACATCCCGTGAGAATTTGTTGTTATTATTGTCAGAAGAATGTTGAATCAGCAGTTAATTTAATTAATCTAACAGTGTCACTTAAGTAACTTTATCGAATGTCAAATAGCTTATTGTTTTTTATTGAAAGGGGTTAATTAAATGTGTATATTTATATAAACAGGTTCATTTAATTGCCTATTCAGCCTCACACGAACCAAAACACCCCTGAGATCAGACAATCAAACTAGCCTACATAGGTTTAGATTCATTCTAAAAAAATAAAAATAAAAATTAATTGTAATACAAAGAAATTAGTCAAGATTATACATTACGTCACAATAAAAAGTGAGAGAACCTGTTACAAGTTGTCATACACTTTGCAAAGTTTTTTTAATATATAAGACTAGAGGTCGACCAAAAGTATGTATTGTGTAAACTTATTTTCACCCCACACTGTAAATAAAACATGTGATTGGAATTTCTTCCATTTGTTTTCATTTTATTTTTATATTTTGTTGTTATTTCGTCACCAACATGGTAACCCATAAAGCTCATTTTAATTTAAAAAAAATAATTAATTAATTTTATGTGCTTATTTTTGAGCCTATTTGATTTTATAAAGGGATTCTGCACGATAATTGATTGATAATCTACAGGCAAACATATTTCTAACAGTAGTCTATGCGTAGATTTTCCCTGCGATGCACAGTAGCTGAGAATATGGTTGTATTGTTAAGCAAAATGAATAAAAGGCTTACTGTAGGCCAACACATGGCACAAAGTAATTGATTTGAACAACTGTTATTTGATTAGGCATTTGTTGCCTAAGCTTAGCAGAGGTCCCATATTGTTACCTACCAATATAACCCCATATCTATACCCCATATCTATATATATATAGATATTGTTAATATCTACACGTACCTTTAAATCAGTTTGATTCAAGAGTTAAGTAACTAGCTTTTTAAAATAGTGTAATGGTTTCTTACTCGCATTTGGTCCTTAATAGTTTTTACTAGTATATACTTTGAAGACTCTACAAATGTTTTTAACGAACAGTGTTTTAACATTATTTGTGTTGGATATTGCTTTTGTTTCCGGACAAACTGTTTCAACTGAACTTGGAAACATCAGAGGAGAAGAGATCACTATCAGAGGAACTCTGTTGTATGTGTTTTCAGGTATTCCTTATGCTAAACAGCCCGTGGGTGATCTGAGATTTAAAGATCCAGTGCCTCTAACAAAATCTTACTCTGGAAATCTTTTTGAAGCTACACAAAATAAGAAAACAAGATGTGTTCAGTTTTTAAAATCTGCAAACAAAGTTATAGGCCAGGAAGATTGCTTGACTTTAAACATTTATACAACTACATTAGATAGTAGTGCCGGTTATGATGTTCTTGTTTTTATCCATGGAGGTGCATTTCAATATGGATCGGGACATCCACAGACGCCTGAGTACATTTACAACCATGAAAAGAAACTTGTTTTTGTCTCCATAAATTATCGTTTGGGGCCTTTTGGCTTTTTGAGCACAGGTGATGAAGTGGTTCCAGGAAATATGGGGTTGAAAGACCAAGTTGTTGCTTTGGAATGGATAAATAGAAACATTAAAAGCTTCGGAGGAAACCGTAACAATATTGTGCTGGCGGGAATGTCAGCAGGAGGAGTGGGTGTGCATCTTCACTATATGGCTCCGTTGTCGAGACATTTGTTCTCAAAAGGAATCTCAATGAGTGGAGTGGCCCTGAGCAAACTTACTAAGACCTGGAAAGCCAGTGAAGGCTTTGAAAACTTGGCCAGTCT